AAGCCTAGTTTTCTCGCTCAGATCTCGACATCTAGCAAAGTGGGCAATGAAAAGCCAGAGTTCACGTTATCATATATTTAATCAACTATAGTGACAAAAGATCTCCAGGCGATTCTCACACATTCCTAGGGGTCCTTATGGGGATCATGTTAAATGTGGCTTCTGACTCAGTGTATCTGGAGTGGAAATGCAAATTCTCAGCAGGAGGTTGGTCTGGAATGGACTGGTTTGAAGCTCTGTTCCAAATACAGGAGTGCCTCAACTCTCAAGGAGCTGAAAGCAATGCATCCTGATGCCTGTATACAACACAACTTTAATCTTGTGTGTTTGTGTGTGTGTGTGTGTCATGAAAGGATTCTTTTTGTGGGGAAGAGTGGGGAAGTGATCCAATTACGATATACAAACCAAATAAAGCAAATGTATCAAAGTACCAGCTGAATTTTCAGCCACTTTCCCTAGGTGTCTTCAAAGTGTGCCTACCACCGGATCAGCACTTTTCACAAATCACAACAGCTGAACTACAGCCAGGACAGAAAAGATTCTTGGGTGATTTAATTAAGCTGTAATCAAACACATACTAGGCTGCAGGGAAAAAAATTCACCGTCTCCAAAGCAGATCTTAGAGCACACAGAAATGTAATATGAAGAATCCAATGCCATTTACTTAAGTCTTTGTTTTAGAGATCAAACTGGAGGAAAAATTAGGCACAGTCATCAAATCTTAGTCTTTGCCTCAAATAGCTGATGCCTCAAATAGCTGATGCTGTAATAGTACAGCAAACACTATTGCCCTATTCCCTAACTTTATAAACTCTGTAGTCCATAAGGGAGAATGTATTTTCTAGATACTTATAAGGACTGGTTAAATGATACAACTTGTACAGTTGCTCCTATGAAGAGCCGCAGTTCAGTAAGATTTCTTCCTGTGCTGGTAAGATGGCTGCTGGCATAACACAGTTCATACACTACTTTATTTTCTCCTTTCTGAAGACTTACTTCTTACTTTTCCCAGGCTTTAAAAATCATGTTAACAATAAGCAAATACAGTATGGCCAGATGCCTTTCGTAGTCAGATGGTTCATTGTTTAAAAAGCTTCAGCTTAAAATCCAAAAGATTGTTAACAGATGCAGTTTCTGGCTGGAGACTGGGAAAAACCTCACTTAAACAAAAGAGTATGTTGTGATTGGAACTAAAAAGGGAATTACCTTTAAAGATAAGAACCACAAACATTTCCTATCTGAAAACACCCCAGCCCCACAAACAGGACCTTTTTTGGACCTTTCCTGAAAGTTTAAAAATTTGACAGTGGATTGCTGCATATGACAAACCCTGGCCAACCAGCCCAGTAACTTACAGATTTGTTTAGACTTTGAACAAGGCCACAACATCCATCTCTTGCTCTCCTCCAGATTACTCAATTAGGCAAAATTCCAGTTAATTTCTTTGCAATCACTGTAGCCCCAGAAATACTTTTGCTGCTTTCCTTGTGGCTCTGAAAATGAGTTTTCAACCGAGACTTAGATAGAGCAGTTCCATAAATGAGTACAGAGTTTGATAAGCAGATAGCTGCTGGGCTCAAGTCACTAAGATCCTGGCCTGTCTTCAGTTCCCAGTCTCTTTGGCCTCCACAACTTCTGTTCACTTTTACACAGAATGCCTGCTTTCCACCAACTCATGCTGTTTCTGTTGGCTTTGGGGCACCTTACTCTAAAGCTTCACTATGTGTGACAACATTTGTAGTGCTCAGGGTTCTAATCTTGAAAGATGGAAAACCTGAAGGAGCCATGAGTGTGTAGGTTTCCCTTGGTGTGAGAAGTGGACCTGGTTTTGTTGGCTGGTAACGAGGCTGATTTGCAAAGCTACCCAAGAGATGTTCCAAAAATCTGCTCTTAGTATTAAGGACGGCCATGAACTCGATTCTGGGAATGGGCGACCTGTCCCTTAGGAAATCACATTCTCTCAGGATAGGTAAACAGGCATACCCTTTCCCAGGTTAGGTTACTGGGTTCTTGTGATCACTGCATGTTTCGTCATTTGTTACAGTGTCCAAACCGCCCCAAAAGGTCAGTTGCAGGTCAAAAGCACAGAAAAGTTTTTAACAATCTGAAGTCTAACCAAGAAAATCCATCAAGCAATGCTTCTGTTCATTTTAAAGTAAGGGAGAACTCTAAACCCATGGGATTCCACAAGGAGTTAAAAAGGCTTTCTTGCTCAGCCCATGCCTTTCCAAGTCACACAAGGAATCCAAGCTGCTGGAATGAAGCTAGCAGAAGAACTGCTTTCTGAAAGCTCTGTGCATTGGCCAGGTACTAGTAGGAAGGGCCCATTCATCAAGAGATGGGATTCCGAGGCCAGTGGCCACATCATCCATATCCATCCTCCTCCGAAAGCCAGCCTTATTGTGTGCACGTGAGATGAGGTTTGCAACAGGATATGATAGGCTGGAAATTGAAAAAAGGAGCAGCAGCTGCGAGCTCAAGGTCATTACTATCCTAAAGGGTTTGCCCTTTCTAATCTAAAGGGCAGTAGTTTCCATGATTAACTTTCAGTTGCTGTCAAGGGTGTAATAAAATCTGGGAAAGAAGAAAACTTTCCCCTCAGTAAGCTGCTCCCATTCTCCTGCCCTGTCCTTTCCTCCAGTACATACCCTCTATCTTCATTGCATCTTGTTTCCTAATTTTGAGGAACACTTGCCCTGGGATGAGCCAAAATAGACAATGTCCTCAGTGTACACAGCCACTTGAGGATTCTTCTTTCTCAGTGGCTGGGTCTTTAATATGGCTGTGTGAAAAGTTCCCTTGCTTCCAAAGACCATGCAATACCATCAGTTTTTGAACTGGATACATTTTATTTTCATTGTATAATTCTTTCCCAGTGGACTATACATGTTTCCTAAGCCATGACAATCAATGCAAAAAAAGAGAGGTTTCCTAGTTGGTGAGATGTGTACAAAAAGAAAGAGCAGATGAGGAGGAGGAAGACACGGTGATTCACAAAGACATTTTACTGGTTATAATTGGGTTAGGAACCCTGAAGACTTCAGTGTGGTCTGATGGGAGACATACTGTGAGATTAGAGCTGAACATCTCTCAGTGAAGGTCACTGGAATTAAACCCAACACACAGTTATCAATGATATGTGCTCAGGTAACAATTTAAATGGGCTTTAACATTTTTTACTGTATTTACTCCAACACTAGGGGCAATTTAGTGGTTCAGTCATCATATATTGATTTCAAAATATCAAACGCTAGAAATATAAAGATGAATACAACGTGGTGCTTCACCACCAGAGCTATAAAATTTGATGAGAGACTACCACAGGCTTGCTTCTGGGGAGAAAGCCTCTACTGACTAATGGAAGGATGCTCCCGGGAGGGTGGCATGCCAGTTACGCAGGCAGCAGAGATGACAGAGGTTCTGGGCCAGGGCAATGGTTTACTTCTCCCCAGGGAGGCTTCAAACTGCATACTTTGTTGTTATTAGCTGTCCTCCAGTCATCCCCTGACTCATGGAACAAAACAAATGGAACAAAATTGCTGCCTGGTCCTGAGGCATTCCTAGGATCAGCTGCAGTAAATGTGATCCATAGGATTTTCACTGGTGGATTTTCAGGTGTAGATTGTCAGGTCTTTCTTCCTAGTCCATCTTAGTCTGGAAGCTCTGCTGACACCTGTTCAGCACCAAAACACCAAGCAAACCTCCACTGGCAGACCTGTGGTGACTGCACCTGGGGTACAATGGCTGGGAACTGAGGGAAATCACAGAAGGTGAGAATTCTACCACTGAACTCCAATGCCCTTGTAAACTGCATCCAAGTCACCTAATAAAAGGTATCCCTGATATTGGAGTAAGGGTGTCCTGAAATGACATTGGATGATAGTTTGTTCTTGCTCCCCTGGGTCGAGAGTAATAATCAGAGTGTCTGCTGCCTGTTTGAGAGAGCTATCTATTTTTCTTAAATGCTAGCCCTGGCCTTCCCACTTACCCTATCTTGATTCAGGGGAAAGTGGCAAGCTGTAGACATGAACAGGACTGGTTATAAAAAATGGATGTGCCACAGGGTTTAAAAGATGGTGGAATAAACTTGACTTCAGGAGATACAGTCTATGGAGTAATGCCTGTTGACATGGGTGCTGGGGAATAAGAGCTATTGGCATTTTGCCAGCCTGATATCTGTTCTCCCCGCTTCTCCTAAAGAAAGAGATCTGTCAGTGTTTAAAAGGGCAATGGCTGCCCAGAATAAAGACATTATTTCACGCAGTGAGGTATAACCATGTGATTCAGTTCTGGCCTTTGGGATGTGAGGGGAAGTCACATGTATAACTCCTGAACATGTCCTTAAAGTGGACATCCTTTTTTTGGAATGTGAAATGGGTGGAGAACCCTTTAGACCATGAGGACAAGGGACATTCTTTAGAGAAGGTGAAATGGAAAGTTGAAAGAAGGTGGGTCACAGAAAACTGTGAAACCACAATAAAAACCAAAAAACCACACTCACTGCCCTCGAGTCAGATCATCTACAAACATTTATGTAAAGAGTAGGGAGATAAAAAACACTTCTATTTTGTATAAGCCTTTGTTATTTTGGGTCTCAGTTATACACAATTATGAACATGGGTACATATACTAAATGAAAAGGAAAAGGATGCAAGACAGTGCAAAAAGTCAATCACAGAAGGACAAATATCGTATTAGTTCCTTATTATAAAAAGGCAAGGAAAGGTTTACACATGGAACGAAACTTTCTTTGTTGGTTACCCAGGGTGAGAGGGGAGGGGAAGGAACACTGCTAGATGGGTAGTTGTTTTTATTATTTAATAAATTAATGGGGAAAAAAAAGAGGGTGCAAAAAAATCAGCATTTAGGTAACATTGTGACACATTCAATCTGGTTTTTACATTATAGAGAGCTGTCCAAGTTTGGTGATGAAATGGGAAAGCAAAGGGAATCAAAATGCATCATTTTCCAGTTTATCATAAACACAATGAACATCTTACCTTTTTCTTGCTACAGTATATTTGCCATTTTTTCTCTGCTGGAAGTGCAAACATGGCTTCCCTGTGTTTGTCTGTGAGGTCAAGTTCATCCTGAAAAGAAAGAAAATAATTAATGTTACCATCATCAAGAAAGCATGTCCCTGGCACAGGGCTAAGACATCAAGCACAAGCAGAGAGGTAAAGCCTACAGATACTAAAGGCTGGGGAAACTGAACCACACATGGACATATATTATCATAAGCTACTGTGTATTGCTGTTTAGGGTCTGTTGAATTGTAAAGGTCATCACACTTCAGGAGTTTAGGATTAGTCACAAAACAGATGACAGTTTCTCAGGGTCAGCTTCAGAAACATTGAATATCAGGCTGGGTCTTGAGAGGAAGGAAAGAACTTGAACATAAAGAAAGGAGGCAACGTCTAGGCAGGGGAATGACAGAAACAAAGGCCAGGAGGTGGTTAACAGACTGATGTGTTTAGGGGACAATGATCTGCTTAATTGAAGCACTGGGTTTATGAAAAGGATCACCACCTAAAAGGTTTGAGAGTTAGGGAGTGATCAGTTTGTAGAAAGTCTTAAATACCAGAATTAAAGAGTTTATTCTCTTGACCAAGGGGAGCTTTGGGCAAGAGTGACATCTCTGTCACCATAAACCCCACTAGCATTTATTAAGTATTTTACATGCCAAGAATTGTGTAGGCATTTTCTCATTTACTTCTCACAACATTCATTATTACCTACTCTGTTGTACACTTAGGGGAAATTTAGGCTTAAAAGAGGGTAACTTGTTCAAGATCTCATGCCTGGTAAATGATGGGACTGGTTTTTGAACCCAGAGCTGTCTGGCTCCAGAATCCAGGCTCTGAGCCTTTCAGATCAGTGTTTGAAAACAATTTTATGGTGGTGTGCACACACTAAAGGCAGGCAATTTATAAACATCCATAACTAATGAATAACAACAATAAGACAATGAATATAAACTGCTAAGGGAAAAGTTCTAAGCATTTAATAAGAGCTCAACCCATGGCCAATATTATTATTGATATTGAGCCTCTGGTACAGGTTATTCCTATAGGTAAATTTATCTAGTTGAAGGTAGTAGATAGTAGAGGTGAGTAAGAACTCTTAGCACCCTGGCCCCTAAATACACACACACACACACACACACAAAACAAGCTATACATTTATAAATTAAGCCACAATTAGGTTTAGATTCCTGAAAAGTGAAAACAAGTTCCCTCTGTCTGCTTCATGTGTATAACTGCAGTTCAGCCATGCTCCTGGACCTGGAACGTTAACCTTTTATTTCATACTGCTATTTCTGCTTTAGAAGCTCTGGTGGCCAAAGCTGCCAACCAATAGGTTGGCATTTTGTACTCACCAGCCACTCTGCAGGAGAAAGATGTAGCAGTCTGTGTCCGTAAAGATTAATGACAGCCTTGGAAATCCTATGGGGCAGTTCTACCTTGTCCTATAGGGTCACTATGAGTCAGAATTGACTCAATGCCAGTGGGTTTGGTGTTGGCTTTGGTTTTACCTCCATTTAGTCATCAAGACCTATTGTTTGTTTAAAAAAAAAAAAATCCCAAGAGTTCACCCCTTTCTTCCATTCCCACTAAAACCACTCAGACTTATGTCCTAATAACCTCTCCTTGGCTTCTTGGATTAGCCTCCTCACTGTTGCTCCTTGCCTTTCCAATCCTTCTCCCTCAGCATGGCCAGAATTCTCTGAAAGCAGTAGTTCTCAAACAGGCATGCAGCAGGATCACCTGGAAGGCCTTGTTAACACACAGATGCTGGGCTTCACCCCACAGATTATGACTGAGGGGGGAGGAAGCTAGAGGAAACTCTATATTTCTAATAAGCTTCCGGCTGTTACTGATGCTGCTGGTCTAGGACCACACTTTAGAACTACCATCTTAAAAACAGAGCAATGCTGTATTGAGCTCCCAGTTCAAGAGCTGTCATTAGTTCCACAATGCTTATAAAATTATACATTCTTCAGGCCTTCGTTTCTTTTTGATTGTGGTGAAAATATGCATAACAAAACATATGCTAGCCATGCCTTTTAAGGTATTCCATTTATGACTCCACCTTGCCTTGATTCTCCTTGTGTCCTTCTGTACTCATCTTGTAAACACCTACACTTCCACAGCCTGTTGTTGTCAGGTGCTGTCGAGTTGGCTCCAACTCAAGTGACCCTACATACAACACAACAAAACACTGCCTGGTCTTGCACCAGCCTCACAGTGCTTGCTATGCTTGAGCCGATCTTTGCAGCCACTGTCAATCCACCTCGTTGAGGGTCTTCCCTTTTTCACTGACCCTCTACTTTACAAAGCATTACTGGGTCCCTTCTGACAACATGACCAAAGTACATGAAATGAAGTCTGGCCATTCTTGCTTCTAAGGAGCATTCTTGCTGAATTCTTCCAGGGCAGATTTATTTGTTCTTTTGGTTGTTGTTGTTGTTGTTGTTATGTGCCATCGAGTCGGCCCCGACTCATAGCGACCCCTCCTTGGGTTTCCGAGGCAGTATCACTACAGAAGTAGGATTGCCCAACCTTCCTTTGGTAGTCCATGGTATTTTCAGAATTCTTTACCCACACCACAATTCAAAGGCATCAACTCTACTTCTGTCTTCCTTATTCATTCTCCAGCTTTCACATGCATATGAGGTAGTTGAAAATACCATGGCTAGGGTCAGACACATCTTAGTCTTCAAAATGACATCTTTGCTCCTGAATACTTTAAAGAGGTCTTTTGCAGCAGATTTGCCCAGTGCAATACATTGATTTCTTGACTGCTGCTTCTATGGGTGTTGACTGTGGATGCAAATAAAATGAAATCCCTGATAACCTCAATCTTATCTCCATTTATCATGATGCTGTTTATTGGTCCAGTTGTGAAGGTTTTTGTTTTATGTTGAGTTGTAATCCATACTCCAGGGCCTAGGTATCACATAACACATGGTAGCTTTCCTGGGAATGTTCTTTATCTCTTTTGTTGTTGTTGTTGTTATGTGCTGTGGAGTCGAACCGACTCATAGTGACCCCTCCATGGATTTCCCAGGCAGTAGCACTTTTAGCTTCTATTTAATCCTCTCCATGATGGGCATATCATCTTTTGCAGGGTTGTTGTGGGAATTAGCAATATAAACTAAGCATGTAGCATTGCCTACAATGGGGTTAACTGTACTGTTATTTCAGTCATCATTAAACACAAATCAGTTTTTTTTTTTTTTTAAGAGCAAGGTAAACATTGTTATGTTGTTAGGTGCCATCGAGTCAGTTCCAACCCAACATACAACAGAATGAAGCACCGCCCAGTCCTGCACCATCATGACAATGTTGCCATGTTTGAGCCCACTGTTGCAGCCTCTGTGTCAATCCATCTCGATGAAAGTCTTCCTCTTTTTTGCTGACCTTCTACTTTACCAAGCATAATGTCCTTCTCCAGGGGCTGGTCCTTCCTGATAACATGTCCAAAGTATGTGAGATAGAGTCCCACGCTCCTCACCGCTCAGGAGCATCCTGGCTGTACTGATGCCAAGACAGAATTGTTCGTTCTTCTGGCAGGCCACAGTATATTCAATATTCTTTGTCCACACCGTAATTCTAATGCATCAATTCATTGTCCAGCTTTCACATGAACTCATTAAAAACACCCACATTCCTACCTAACCACACACACACACACACACTCGCACACACACACATACACACAGAGCTATTAAGAATTTCAACAATGAACAACCAGGAAGGAAATGAGATTTTAACCAAAAATTCCATTATGGGGAAAAATATTAAAGTCTTGACAAGAGAACTATTATATATGCAAAGTCATTTTTTTTCTTTTTTCTTAATTTCCTGTAATTTACACCTGCTCTTACCTATTGATGAAGGAGGAAAATAATGGTGATATAAATCACTTCCCAACAATTAGGGATTTTGGGGAAGGGGAAAGTACTTTAGGTCAGTTATTCAAACAGCTGGATAATACAGTAGTTAGCTGGAGAGAAAGGGTTTGTGACTGGTGAGAGATAACAGAGCTATCAAGTCTACCTCTTTTATTACACTGAGCACTGTGGTTTTTTTTTCTTACCTAGAAGAGACTGAAGAAATGTGTGAATCCTGAAACCTAGAAATTCACAGCAAAGGGTATTAATATGACTGTGTTTTGCTGTGAGAGGTCGATAACTTCCACTTCTGCAGAGACAGAAATGACCAGTTTTGAATGGAGGAAACAGTGGAACTGGGGACTTACGGATAGAAGGCTTCATGCAAGAAGAGAATTTTCACAAAGTGTAAAAAAGAAAAACTAAATGCTATGGATTCTCTGTACCTAACTTTGGATTACAGAAAGAAAATGGGAAGGAATGAATGGATACAGATGATAATAAAAAAAAAAAACTAAGCCAACTCACTGCTGTCGAGTCAGTTCCAACTCATAGCAACCCCTCCTTAAGTTTCGGAGGTGGTATCTCTTCAGAAGTATATTGCCCAATCTTCCTTCTGAAGAGAGTGGCTGGTTGGTTTGAACCACCAGCCTTCTGATAGCAGTCAAATACCTTAGGCACTATGCCACCAGAGCTCCCAGCTGATAATAATAGGAGCTAACAACTACTGAGCACTTTCTGTGTGCTTAGTTGTGGTATTTTACATGGATTAATTTATTTTATCCTCACAACAAAACAATGGGTAATATTATTATCCCATTTTCCAGGAACTGAGCCACAGAGAGATTAAGCATCTTGCTCAACGTAACAAAGCTAGTAAATATTAGAGGAGGGGTTTGAGTCCAGGCTGCCTAGTTACAGAGCCTGTGTTCTTCACCACTAGACTATTCATTCTGTTGATCCAGGAAGGTAGAATTATGACACTGACGTGACATGAAAATGCACACATCTATCTGCTGCAGTACTGAAAGCCTGTTAACAGAAAGAGGGAGGGCTTTCTTCCTGATTTGGGTCTACGGGTCTGCAAACTTGCACAAATGACTTAACATCTGAACTTCAATTTCTTCATCTGAAGATAATATACAGCTGATAAGAGTTATTGCAAAGATTCATCCATATAACCAAAAATATTTT